TGAAGGCTTGGATTCTAATGGTTCTCCAATTTCAAAGAAAACCTCCGAGCCACCACCACCACCACCACCACCGTGCCTTGCTTTGAACTGTGATGGCGGGAAGTTCGGACAATTCTTAGGCAAAGATCTAGGCCCTACCTGAGTAAAAACTGTGTCAATTAGAAGATTTGGGGTGTGACTCTTGGTTCTAATTTGTGGTCCAAAAATGATGTTCTTGCCCTCAGATGATCCAAGAGATTTACCAGATAGCTTATGATCATCATCGAGAGAATCAACTATGCCTAATCCTACTTTACTACAATCCCAGCACCTCCTATGTCCATCATGGGATGATTTAGGGGACCCCACGGAGTTGCTAAGATTTGAAAATACCCTAAATCCAAATGGAGAGGTGGGACTCTTGACTGAATCAGAATCTGAAGAAACTTTGAAATTTAAGCCAACAAAAAGACCAGGGACACTGAAAAAGGAGTTGCTTATGGATTTGTGCCCCAGCACAGCAGACTGAACAGGACACAGCTCAGAACCAGAGTCAGCCATGGTTATAGCTGAATTCAAAAGTGGAACTGATTTCTTTGTGAAGTAAGTAACCTCTGCCTCAGCTTTATCTTCAAACACTGCAAATGCTTACCTCTGGCAATGGCCAAGCTTGTTTCCTGTAAACAAGCTGAATTACTTCAATGGAAGAACAAAAACGACTGAATCTAGGGCTATGATGATAACAGAAACGATCATCTCAGTCACGTTTTCCAAAAAAAAAAAACCGCCAATGAAAAGAAAACGCAAACAGATTTGATAGGAAAATCAACAGTTTCAATTCAAACAGAAGAGGTTTATGTGATAATGTCGGCAATCAAAGAAGAAAATGAACACAAATCTATGAATCAAAACGGGAAAAAGTTTCCAGATGAAGAATCCAATACCTATTTGAAGAAATAGAAAAACATTCAAAAGTCCAGCAAATTAAACGTACAAACATCGAAAATCAAACATCCAATGAGAGCGTTCTAACAGTCCGAAATCGATCAGATACGCCAAAAAACGGAGATCAAAACAACGAACGAATCCTCAAAACCTCAAATGAACAAACGAATTAAACATGCAATGATAGCGATAACATAAACAAAACGATCGCANAATCATCCTTACAAAAAAAAAAAAAAAAAAAAAAAAAAAAAAAAAAAAAAGATCAAGAACAACAACAAAAAAAAAGAAAAAACACCAAAATGCATCAAAACGATCCCAAGAACAAAGAAACGGAAACAACGCAATTGAAGAAGGGAGTTCAAAGCTCACCTCCTCTCCTCCACAATGGAAGAAGAATCTAGGAAGAAAACCGAACACCAAAATGCAGAATCAAGAAGAAGAAGAACAAGAAGAAGAAATTGAAAATATGAATGGCGGAAGAAAGAAACTTGCTCCCCAATTTCTTCCCTCTCTCTCTCTCTCTGTCCCTCTCCCTCTCTCAGTGGAATGGAATGCCTCAAAATCAGCGAAGGCAGTGAGCTTGTGAAATACTCTTCCTCTCTCGCACAGCTCACTCACAAGCATTCAAACTTTCTCTCTCTACAAAATTCTCAAATTAAAAAAATAAAAAAAAACACAAAATTTCTCTCTCTAGAAATACAGTGTCATTTGCAGCGTATGACACCCCCACTTTAAATTTGCCCACAGAATTGTCTCGGATGCATTATTGTTACCCCCCACACCCACCTTATTTCCCCCAACTCCCCCTTCCACTTTTTTTTCCCTTTTTTTTTTTTTTTTTTTTAATTCAATAATTACAACTGTGGTCCCCATCCCGATCGTCGTCGGGTGGGTCCCACTACATACCTTTTAAAATAGCAACCGTTGTTTTATCCGACCAAACTCGGTTGAAGAGGAGAACGAAGCATTCTTTATAAGAGTATAACAAGTAATAAACTAATAATGGCTTTAGACGGTTCCAAAACACTATGTAATAAGTAGGAGATTCACTGAACCGAGATGAAGTTGTTGAACCCTAGCTAGTCGTCAACTCATCGTTCTTGAAGGTCTCGACAAGGAACATTACATTCGGGACTAACCATTTGATAACTATTTATTTATTTTTGAAAATTGGTGTTTTTTCTAGCTATTAATTTACCGTATAGTTTTAAAAAATTAAAAAATTAAAAAATTATTTTAAAATATAAGGACTATAATAAATTAATATATAAAAAATAAAACAAACATGAAATTTTAGCTTTTCCTTAAACCGCCGTGACGTACACAATTTCCGTTTAAATTGTTTTTTTCTGTTTTTTTTTTAATATAATAATATTTGCATTTTCAGTAAAATGTGGTACATAATGTGGAGAGGACGAAACATCCATTTTAGTAAATTTAAGTACAAATTTGCCCCTTTCAACAACTCGTTATTACAAATTTACCCTCACTCTCAAAATTCCATTACCATCCCTAATTTATAAATAAAAGAAGGAAATTAAATTATGCAATTTATATTCGTAAAATTATTATTTTTTTAGTATATTTACACGTGAAATAATCATTCTGTCCCATAAATTTGATTATTATTTGAAAAAATCACTAATATTTTTATATTATTTTTTAAAGTTACAGTCAATTCTTTCTTAATTCTAATATTTAAGTTCATTACATATTTTTTAATTAATTACATTTTTTATTTTAAGAGTTAAAAAATATTCTTTTTAAGTTATTTTAAACTAATTTTAATTTTTTAAAATAAAAAATATTAATTTTATATTTAAACCACTTATAAGAACTAATAAAATGGTACGAAAATGATTTAAAGATTTAAGAACAACCTCGAAATTTCCAAAACATCGTCTGTCCCAGGAACCAATGGTTTCCGTTAAATATTAACGGCAGTTAAATGGCGTCTATCAACCGTTAACTAATAATTATGTGGTCCATTCTGTCCTTAGAAAATAAAGTTGCCACGTCACCATGTCTTAATTAACTTACTGTGATCAGACGCTCAATACCCTCTCTCACTCTCTTAGCTTTTATAACTCACTTTTCGGAACTGCCTTGTTTGTCGTTTTGCGTGACTCAGCTTTCCTCATTCTCGATCCCAACCGCCTGATTTTGACACGTGCCTGTCAGATTTGTGGATCCCCACGAAATCCAACGGCTGTGAACGCAAGATTCTCTTACTACATACTACTAAACCGGTCTTCTTGGACCGGTTCGTTTCTGTACCCTTTTTTTTATCGTACCGTGTACTGTAAGAAAAGCTCCGTTGAAGTGGGGCCCAGCACTCATCTGAAGCCCACGTGTCGAGTCCAGGTGGAGCCGTGGAGTTGAACGACCGAAAGGTTGCCTGAAAAAGAGGGAACGGTGGAGGTTTTTTTTTTTAAGTAATAATAAAATAAAGGCATTAATGTCATTGTGGGTTAAATTTTCATTTTGGTGTTGGTATATTAAATTTCATTTTATTTTAATAAATGTCCTTTTAAATATCTAATTTTATTTATTATATTTTTAAATTAGTGAAATAATAATAATAATTTTATATGTAATTAAAAGATATTTAAATGTTTGTTGAATAATTAACAATAAATTAAGTATTTTGACTAGTTAATTTATTACAATTATATATTAAATATTAAGGGAATGGACTCGAGGTTAAAATGGTAATTTAACCATCGTGGTAATAAAATTTAGAGAATACATTTTTTTTTAAAGTGTGTTTTTTACCAAATAAATATATTAGTGTTATGGGTAGAAAATTCGAGCTTATCGACTATCTTATGGTGAAACACGTGGCATATGGACATTCCGAGCTACCCATAGTAGTTTGGAAACCTCTAATAAACTCAGCATATAGAGTCTAGTCCTAGTCGAATCGAGCTGTTTGTTTTTCATCGTGTGAAAATTTTCATTGTTATATTAGATTTAGTTGTTGGATAATGAAAGTCCTACATCGATCAGCTAATTTAGGGAATGATCATGGGTTTATAATCAAGGAATAGTCTTTCCATTAGCGAGGCCTTTTGGGGAAGCCCAAAGCAAAGTCATGAGAGCTTATGTTCAAAGTGGACAATATCATACCATTATGGAGAGTCGTGTTCGTCTAACAATAGTTACATAGCGCAGAATCATGATGAGTTCTTGCATCAATTTAGGTCATTAAATTAAAAAATATATATATTAAAAGAACAATAAAATCCCATTTTTAAAAATTTTATTTTCCACGTGGATACAACTTTTAAAAAAAGTCGATGAATTACAATCATAATTAATATACTAAATTCCGAATTTAATAATTGAAAAACAATTTCATGATCATCATTATGACAAATAGGGTTTAAATTAAAATAAATAAATAAAATAAAATAAAATAAAATAGGAAACCCTGGTTGTTCCGTTCGATGAGAAGGGAAAAAGGATCCAACGCTATTCCACTGAGAACAACACGTTTCGCAGTGATCACAATTCACACAAGTACCCAAAAATTCCCATCATATTAATAAATTTTTTAATTTTTAAAAAATTAATATTGGCATTTATTATATTAATTCAATTAGTCTTGGTTTTAGGGCTAAGTGTGTGCTAAAAGAGCTTCCTCCTTTTATGATTCGTTATTTATTTAAAATAATTATAATATATAATAATAGTTGTACGTGCGGCAACGTATAAATAAATTTAACCATTTTTTTTACTAATTAATTAAATTTAACCTTTTATTCCATATTTTACTAATTAAATTAAAAAAATTAAATATCAAGTTTAATTTTTTAAATGGTAAGATTTATTTATTTTAGCTTTTAAACTTTTAAATTTTGTTTCTACCTATTTTATTTTATGTATTCAAAATTTTAAAAAATTACTTATTTATTTTAATTTTTTTTTAGGTGGGAATTTTGATCCATTTACCGTGACGTCCATTTGACTTACAAGGTCGGAGTTTTGAGGGACCAGCAGTAAAAAAAAATTGTAAGAGTAAGTGGGGAGAGATTTCCCTTGTTAGCTAAACCTGTCTAATTTTCGCCCAGCCCATCGTTGATCTCACGGTTTGAAAACGTGTCTTTGAGTTTTTAAAATATATAGTCCGTTTTATCCTGTATCATCGCCAATCTCACGGTTTTAAAACGTGTCTACTGGTAAGAGGTTCCCACATTTTTGTAAGAAATGTTTCGCTTCCTCTCCAACCGAGATGGGATTTCAGTATTATATTTTTGCTTATAAAATATTATAGAATTATTATGATATTTTATATATATATATATATATATATATATATATATATATATATATATATATATATATATATATATATATATATATATATATA